GCTTCAGTTTCCTCAGGATCAGGGACTACAGGCTTGCAACACCACCCTCCTTTCTCCCACAAATTAATTGTTATTATTTTTTATTAATTATTATTATTATTAATTATTATTGCTTTTAAACGTGGAAACCATTTTCAGGAGCATTCAGGCACTTTGCGCCTTCCTTGGGCTCCTAGTCTCAAGTGTTAATTGTATTTGTGGTCACCCAGCCAACAATAGTTTCTTGTTCTGCCTGCTCAGCAATGCATCCTGAGCAGCCTAACTTGAAAATAAAGCTTGTAGCTTTCACAGATCCTCTCATTTGGCACAGCAGGCACCCCTTTCATCTGAGAGTGTTGATTGGTTTCCTGAAGTTGAAGAATAAGACCTCTAAGGTAGAAAAAGATAATTTTAGGAGGCAGTGGGAAGTCCAGGGAAATCTCTGTTAGTCTGGGAGTTGAGGGGTAAGGGGGTAAAGTAGAGGAAATTTATGTGAAATGTGATCAGAAAACTCACAAATGCCTGATGATGTACACTTTTCACCCTTGCCAGTAGGGGTTTGTCCTTGAAGACACTAAGTCTGTGAAATATTCTCAGGGTTTCCAAAATGACTTCCTTTCACAAAGATGAATAAGTTGCAGCATTGAGCCTATGATTAGTTGTCTCTTGCTCAGCTGGTACAAATTTTGCATTTGTGTTCCCTAAACAAGCCTGGAAAATTGCTCCCCTCTAGCAACATTAGCGTCCATGGGGGCAGCTAGGCAGTGCAGTGGATGGAGCACTGGCCCTGAAGTCAGGAGGACCTGAGTTCAAATGTGGCCTCAGACCAAACACTTGACACTTAATAGCTGTGTGACCCTGGGCAAGTCACTTAACCCCAATTGCGTAAAACAAAACAAAAAAACAAACATTAGTGTCCATGGGAGGCATTGAACCTTCCTGGGAACATTGACAAGTTGATTTGTTACAAAGTAAAACCCGCCTAGGTGTAATATTGAGTAAAATTTCCTGGCATTACAAATATATGCATAGAATATATAATTTTTTTATAATTTTTAAAAACTTGACCTGTAATTTAAATAATAATGGAATCCGTATAAGGAACTTCCTTTGGCTCCACTACACTGTGTTGACACTCTCATTTATCATTATTTGTACAATTAATTCCAACTTTAGCATGTTGTAGTGGAAAATCACAGTAACTCAAGAGTCAGAAGACCAGAGTTCTAGGTGCAGCCATGCTAGTACTTTGATGTATGAGACAGTATGTGCTAGGCTTGGGAAAGGTGACAGGAGTTCAATTCCCAGCTTTGTCACTGATGGGCTGTATGATCTTGTACAAGTCATTTCCCCCCATGAGTCTGAATTTTATCATCTGTAAGATAGGAAGGTCTGTTTTTTATGAGTCCACAAGTCCCTCTCACTCTCTAAACCTCAGTTTTCTTTTCTGGAAACCTTAATTCAATAAAGCTTTAGAAAGTATCTTATTATGTTTAAAGTTCTCTGCCGTGTACTGGGGATATAAAAAAGTTTGAAGGGATTTTTATTCTAATATGAAGGGGTTGGGTAAAAGGAAGTACAAAAGGGTTATATAGCTGGCATTTATATGGTGCCTACTAAGTTCTAGGTACTTTATGAAGTACTTGTTCCTCACAACAACCCTATTAAGTAGATGTCATGGAGAGAACATTGACCGGAGTGACAGAGTTCTCTCTATAACATTGAACAGTCCTGGTCCTCATTTTGTAGAATGTAAAGTGCTATAAGAAAACCTATGGGATCAATATCAGTTTCATTATGAGATGAAATGCAGTAGTGTCTGTAAAGGGATTTGCAGATCTTGAAACCTCTGTCGATGTTATTTATTTATTATAACGTGAGAGAAGTGGACAAGATGATTTATCAAGGGTCCATCATGTTCCTAGTTCCACTGAAGTGGTTTTTGGGTTTTTTTTTGCCTTTTGGTGAGGCAGTCAGGGTTAAGTGACTTGCTCAGGGTCACACAGCTACTGAGTGCCATGTGTCTGAGGCTGGATTTGTACTCAGGTCCTCCTGACTCCAAGGCCAGAGCTTAATCCACTGCACCACTAGCTGCCCCGAAGGGTTTTCTATAAGGAAATTATATCATCATACCCTCCATATTTAGGCCTTGAGGGGTGGAAGACACCGACTTTGGCCTTTTCTTATCTTTTGTGAGACGCCAGGTTTTTTCCCCTGTAAAATGAAGGGTTTGGATTACATGATCTTTGGGGTTCCTTCCAGATCTCAGTCCTCCGATATTGACTTCAGAGTAGGTAGAAGTACAAGCTGGAAGAAATCTTTTTGGGAAACCATCACAAGAGGAAATTGATAGGTCTTGGTAAGAGGCTTAGTTAGAGGGGGCGACCCTGAATTTTCACCATAGTTAAATCCAGCAGTGTCCCAAGTTTCTGTTCTTAGGAAAGGATTTTATTGGCATTAAAGATGCTTGGAAAATACACAAAGGAAGGAGGACAAGCTTCCAAATCAGAAATGTTTACCTTTTGAATATCGGACTAGAACACGAAGAGCCTATTTTCTAAACAGCCCTTGGTTGTCAGGTCTACACTGTGCTAGGCAAATTCCAAGAGAGGACAAATCCAAGTGGTTGAGGCTGCCTTTTTCCCCCTAATCCTTAGTCTGCCTCTGGAGAGAGAAGGGATACTTCTGAGAGAAATATCCAACTCTTCTAGGCTTGGAAGGAAGCATTCTTGCCCAGACTACTACATCCCTCTCTTATACGTCTTATGTTCCAGGGACTATCCCCAGTTTTAGAAATTTGTGGAGTCGGGGTGTGTGTGTGTGTGTGTGAGCATGCGCGCTCGTGCACCAGCTTTCTCTTTCCTACCACAGCTTCTTCTTCCCTATCCAATCACAGGGAAAGGAATTGTGTATGTGGCCCTTACCAGAGTTGCCCATTAATTTGTCAGGACGTTGGTTTCCTTATCTTTGAAATGGTGGTAATGATACTGATACCACCTTTTTCACAGGGTTATTATGAAGATCAAGTGAGAATATATGTAGAGCAGTTTGCAGTTCTGAATTTAGAGATGGAAGGAATTTTAGATGACATCTGGTATAACTCTTATTTGACAGAGGAGGAAGGTGAGGCTCTGCGATGAAATATGATTTCCTTAAGGTCACACAGGTCTGCTGATTGTAGGGAAAATGCTCTACTCCAAATGAACCACTTATACATGGTTCAGTATAAAGTATTGGATTTGGAATCCGAGGACCTAGATCGGAATCCCGGCTTTGCAAGTTGCTACCTATGTTACCTCAGTTTCCTCAGCTATAAAATGATAAGATTGGATTATGAAACAATAGAATCTTTCATAAATGTGAGCTGTTATAACATAGTATGATTGTATTTCATTATGTTAATATTGTGAGTCAATTTTTCTTAGTGGATATAGAGCCACATTGGAATCAAGAATGAATCAGTCTCAACAAGCCTTTATTAAGGGCTTAAGAAACCAGTCACACCAGATTCAATTTAGTAGGGATTTATTGGGCACTTATTTTAAGTGTTGAGTTTGAATCCTGCCTCAAAACTTATGTCCTTCAAAAGTCATTTAATCTCTCAGCCTTGGTTTACTCATCTGTAAAATGAGATAATATTACTTACCTCACAGGATTGCTGTGAGAATCAAAAAAGATTATGTGTATTTTTTACTTTGCAAACCTTCAAGTGCTATTTACTATATAATTATATATTATCACATAATATAATTGTATTATATGATATCGTAATACTAGCTATTATTTGTCTACAAATGAAATAGGCAGAGTCTTTGTCTTCAAGAAGTTTGTTGGTGAGCTAAAATACATTTAGATAAAGATAATGATTATATCATTGTGGCATAATGGATAAAAAAAACAGCCTGTAGAACCAGGAAGACCTCAGTTCAAATGCTGCCTACTGGCTCTGTGGCCCTGGACAAGTATCTTAAACCTTTTAGTGCACTAGGTAGTTCTATAAGGCTGAGTTCTAGAGAAGGAGCTGACCTGTATTGGTAGGAGGACTTTGCTCATTTGGAAGTTCCCTCCTTCAGCAAAATCAAAGATCCAGTCTGTGTCTTTCTGTTTGTCCTGTCTGACCATCTTTTTATCCATCTGTCCGTCTGTGTGTGCATTCATCCATCTATCTATCTATCTACCTACCCACCCATCTAGCATTCCAGCCCTTCTCTATACTTTTACAGCTATAAGATTAATTCAGGCCCTCTTTACCCAGATTGGTTCAGTGGCCTCCTATTAGTTTGCCTGACTCCAGTTTTCTCCACATTTCACTCCATCCTCCATTCTGTGATGACAGTGATTTTCCGCAAGTACAGCTCTGACCATGTCATTCTCCTACTCAGCAAATTCTAGTGGCCTCATAGTGCTTCTCAAGATAAAATGTAAGTTCTTTTGCTTAGTTTTTAAAGCCTATGGCTCCAACCTATCTTTCCAGTCTTATTGGACATGACTACTCATACTACATGATCCAATCAGTTTGGCCTTTCTGTTCCTCCGTATGACACACCATCTCCCATTTCTGTGCCTTTGTACTGGCTATTCCTTATGCCTAGAATTCCTTCTTTTACCTCTGTCACATTGCTTCTCACTTCTCTTCAAGATGCAGTTTAGGCACCTTTCTCTACATGAAACCTTGTCTGGTCTCTTTAGTGCCAATTCTTTTTACTCCCCTCATTGTTTTCTGCTCCTTTCCTCCTCAATTTGCCTTGCATTTATTTTGTGTAAGGTATGTGTGCATATATATACATGTATAGTATATATATATACACGTACACATACTTGTCTCCCTCATTAGAATGAAAAACTTTTTGCACATAGGGATATTTCATTCGTTGTATTTGCATTCTCAGTGACTAATATACGGCCTGGTATATAGTAGATAATCACTAAATGGTTATTGATTGATATATTCAGTGCTTAGCAGTTGGGTCTGACTGCTTTAGAGACTGAAGTATTGTCCTTTCTTCCTCTTATTCCTTTAGCTCAACCTTAGCAGACCAATTGAGGAGCAGGGCCCTTTGGATGTGATCATACACAAACTGACCGATGTCATCCTGGAAGCTGATCAGAATGACAGCCAATCCTTGGAGTTGGTTCACAGATTCCAGGTGGGTAATTTCCATTGCCTAGAGAAGCCACTATGTATCTGTTTATCTGTCTATTCATTTAATTATCTGTCTATTTTTATCCTCCACCTCATTTCCAGTTTGCTGATCTGTGCTAAGTACCAGGGGTGATTCAACATTTTAGTAAGCCATGATCTCAGTCCACATGGGTCTTGTGCAGATATAATCATCGCTGTGTACTATGCAGTAAAATGTGATTAAAGCACACGTGAGAACTATAAACAATGTACTTGTGATCTTTGAGAAAAATCAAGTCTATCTATAATAGAACCCTCCTTGTCACTTCTCCTCTACCTCAAAGGCCTCCTCAGTCTTCACTCATACATTCTCTTTTCTTACATTCTTTGTGACAGTATCTTGCCCCTGCCATGCTTCAGCCGTGGATTAGTGCCACCCTTCATTGCCTTTTCTCCTACTCATGTGCTGCTGAATGAAATTGGAGAAAACCACGAAGTTATGTTGCTTGTGTCTGCTACAAATTTATGTTATATGATATCAACTGGGCCCTCAGTGGTTCAAGGCAATGCTTTTATCTTACCTTAGTTGACTCACTGTCCTACCCACCATAGCAATTTTTCCACCTTTTCATCATTATTCAGATGACTCATCTTACCTCCCTTATTCCAACCTTCCTTCCTATCTCCCTCTCAGCTGAGAACCTTGCTTTATACAGAGGTATCCCAAATGTCTTAGTGTAGTTTTAAGCTTCTAAAGTTTGCACTAAGACTTTTAGGACATCTTTTATTTCCTTGAGACCTTTTGATGAGAGTTTCCTCTCTAACCTCCTTCTCATCTCACATCACTCACACACCTTCTTCAACTCTATTCTTTTTCATTCTTTCTTTATTTTTTCTCTTGTGAATTTTCTATTTTCAACATTGAGTTGAAATTTTCTCCTCATCTCTCCCCTCTCCCCACCTTAAGACGATGTGCATTCTGAATACCATTTCCCTTAATCTCCCCTTCCTTCTATCCCCCCCTTATCCCCTTCCCCCTCTATTTTCCTGTAGGGCAGGATAGATTTCTATACCCCTTTTCTTGTATATTTTATTTCCCAGTTGCTTGTAAAAACAATTTTTAACATTTGTTTTTAAAACTTTGAGTTCCAAATTCTCTCCTTCCTCTCTCCCCACGCATTCTCATTGAGAAGGCAAACAATTTTGTGTAGGTTATATATGTGTAGTCACGCAAAACATTTCCATAATAGTCATGTTGTGAAAGGCTAACTATATTTCCCTCCATCCTGTCTCACCCCTTGTTTATTCTATTCTCTCCTTTGACCCTGACCCTCCTCAAAGTGTTTGCTTCTGATTACCCCCTCCCTTAATCTGCCCTCCCTTCTATCATCTCCCCTTCTCTTATTCCCTTCCCCCCTGTTTTCCTATAGGGTAAGATAGATTTCCATACCCAATTGAGTGAGTATGTTATTCCCTCCTTCAGCCAAATCTGATGAGAGTAAGATTCACTTATTCCGTCTCACCTCCCCCTCTTCCCCTCCAGTGTAAAAGCTTTTTCTTGCCTCTTTTATGTGAGATAATTTACATCATTCTACCTCTCCCTTTCTCCTTCTTCTAATACAATACTGTCTCACCCCTTATTTTATTTTTTAGATATCATCGCTTCATATTCAACTCAGCCTGTGCCCTCTGTCTATATATATATTCCCTCCAACTACCCTAATACTGACAAAGGTCTCATGAGTTATAAATATCATCTTTCCATGTAGAAATGTAAACAGTTTAGTTTTAATAAGTCCCTTATGATTTCTCTTTCCTGTTTACCTTTTCATGCCTCTCTTGAGTCTTGTATTTGAAAGTCAAATTTTCTATTCAGCTCTGGTCTTTTCATCAACAATGATTGAAAGCCCTTTATTTCACTGAATGTCCATTTTTCCCCTGAAGGATTTTTTTTTTGCTGGCTAGGTGATTCTTGGTTTTAATCCTACCTTCTTTGATCTCCAGAGCATCTTATTTCAAGCCTTCCTGTCCCTTAATGTAGAAGCTGCTAAATCTTGTGTTATCCTGATTGTGTTTCCACAATACTTGAATTGTTTCTTTCTGGCTGCTTGCAATACTTTCTCCTTGACCTGGGAACTCTGGAATTTGGCTACAATATTCTTAGTAGTTTTCCTTTCGGGATTTCTTTCAGGAGGTTATCGGTGGATTCTTTCAATTTCTATTTTACCCTCTGGTTTTAGAATATTGGGGCAGCTTTCCTTGATAATTTCTTGAAAGATGATGTCTAGGCTTTTTTTTTTGATGATGGTTTTCAGGTAGTCCAATAATTTTTAATTTCTCCTGGATCTATTTTATTTCTCATAGAGTCATTAGCTTCCATTTGCTCCATTCTAATTTTTAATGAATTATTTTCTTCACTGAACTTTTGGACCTCCTTTTCCATTTGGCCAATTCTGCTTTTTAAGGCATTCTTCTCCTCATTGACTTTTTGGACCTCTTTTGCCATTTGGGTTAGTCTGTTGTTTAAGGTGTTATTTTCTTTAGTATTTTTTTGGGTCTCCTCTAGCAAGCTGTTGACTTGTTTTTCATGATTTTCTTGCATCACTCTTGTTTCTCTTCCCAGTTTTTTGTTACTTCTCTTATGTGATTTTCAAAATCCTTTTTGAACTCTTCCGTGGCCTGAGACCAATTCATATTTTTCTTGGAGGCTTTGGATGTAGGAGCTTTGACTTTGTTGTCTTTTTCTGGTTGTTTGTTTTGATTTTTTTTCACCAAAGTAAGATTCTGTAGTCTGAGTTTTTTCCTGCTATTTGTTCATGATCTCAGCTGATTATTTGAGTTATAAACTCTTTGTTAAGGTAGGGGTGTGCTTCCAGTGTGGAGAATGTACTGTCCCAAGCTTCAGGGGTTTTGTGCAGCTATTTTCAGAGTCACTTCTAGGGACCTGTAAGTTATTCCACGGTGCTATGATCAAAGGTGAGGTGTTTACTCCTTTCCTGGCCTGTGCTCTGGTCTACGAGTGACCATAAGCACTCTTTTCTGCCTTGGAACTGTGAGGGGTATTCTCTCTGCACTGCCACCACAAGTTCCTGCTTGCCCCAGGACTGTGACCCAGATCCAAGCATGAGCAAAGCAAGAGAATTCTGCCTCAGTGCTAGCAAAGATATCCCTGCAATCCCTCTCTGATCACCCACTAGATCACCCCACTGTCTGTGGCCAGAAAGCTCTGGAAGCAACTGCTGCCACTGTGGCCCCCACCCTGGGGCTGTGCTAGACTAGGGCTAGACTGCACTGTTCTCTCACCCAGGTCTGACAGACCTCTCCTACTGACCTTCTAAGTTGTTTTTGGTGTTTGTGGGTTGCGAAATCTGGAAACTGCTACAGCTGCCCATGATTCAGTCTCCTGAGGCCTGCTCCAGGTTTGCTCTGGCCCTGTCATTGCCTTCCTGGCCCATGCTGAACTGCACCCTCTCCCAGTCTGGTGCAGCAGACCTTTCCTACCAAGCGTCTGGGTGGTCTTGGGCTGGGAATTTGTGTTACCCTGTCTTTTTGTGGGTTCTGCTGCTCTAGAATTTTAGAGTAATTTTTTACAGGTATTTGGAGGGGTTTGTGGGAGAACAAACAAGTCACTGCTTTTACTGTGCCATCTTGGCTCTGCCCCAGCTGTCTTCTCTTTCAGACCTTTCTGGTAATGTTGGATCCTGTTCCTAGCATCGGGTGGAGGTGGGGGTGGGGGAGGAACGGGACTGGAGAGGGGTGTACACTGTACCGGCCGCGCCGACCACTCCTCCTATAAGGAGCAGGCTGCCAGAGTCATACTCACTCATCAGTCTTCGGTCCTCAACCGGATGAACACACAGAGACGAGCCATCGGGAGGCGCCAACACCAGAGCTTTATTCAGAGGCCATCACAGCAAGGCCAAGCAGGAAGGCCAGAGCAACAGAGCAGGAGCCAAGAGAGAGCGCGTGATCTGACCACGCTCGTTCCTAAGTACCTACTAGCCCCTCCTCCCCAGCCCGCTTACTAGCCAATGATTGTAGGGTCAGATACCGGAAGGGGCTGTCTGAGTTTAGCACACCAAGGGAGAGGGAGTGACGTAGATACAGGAAGGAGGCGTCTGGGATCAGTGCTACACAAAGGGACCCAGGAAGTCAGGAAGGTCACAGGAAGGAGGCGTCTGGGGTTGAAGTTGCATATAGGGAGGGGACTAAGCAAAGGGAACTCTTCTCTGCCATCCCTCTCCCACCTGGCACCGCCCCTTGCCTCAGGAGCACAAGCTCCGGCTACTTCCTTGCACCCAGCTTATCTCACATAGCACTGCCCACTGCCTCAGGGCTTCTCCATACCCAGCCCATCCCAGTCCACCACAATTCTGCCTACCACAGCCCCTGCCTCGACTTCCAAAATACCCAGATTCTACCGCAATCTTGCCACAGCGCCCACCTGGTAGTTGCCAACATCAGACAGTCCCTCACAGTACACTGTCTCAAACTTTAGGCTTTTTCACCTGGAAAGACTTGTATGATCAGAGGCTGAGTGAAGTGAGCAGAACCAGGAGAATGTTGTACACAGTTACAGCCTTATTGTGTGATGACTGACGTTGATAGACTTGGCCCTTCTCAGCAATACAAGAAACTAAGACATTTCCAAAGTCCTCGTGATGGAAAATGCTATCTACATCCAAAGAAAGAATTATGGAGTTTGAATGCACATCGAAGCACACTATTTGCTGTTTCTTTTTCTTCTGTTCTGTTTTGTTTCCTCTTTCTGGTGGTTCCTCCTTTTGGTTCTAATTCTTCCTCACAACATCACTAATGTGAAAGTATGTTTAATAGGAATGCATATGTATAGCCTTTATCAGATTGTGTGCCATCTTAGGGAGGGAAGTGGGGAGGGATGGGGAGAAAAATTTAAAACTCTAAAGCTTATGGAAGTGATTGTTGATAAATCAAAATAAATTAAAAAAAACTTTAATCTTTTTTGTACTGTTGTTTTCAGAGCGAGTTGTGGGGGCTTGGATGTTT